GCATAATAACGTTAAGAAACATGGAGTAAGTCAGCTTTGAAAAATTCTCAGAAAATCTGGCACTTAACGAATGCATGCGTTGTTATGACAACGCGTTTCTGTTCATCAATATACAAGGAGAGTAAGCACAATTAAAGGTGCATACACATCCAAACGAATACTCATGCAAACGTATACGCATCAATAATGTCAACGGGCACCAACGATAGTCTAATTTTGTTGCAATTTTAATATGATGTCGCGAAAAAAGTTGTAGAAACAACAACACCAACAGCTGCACTCATTTATAACTGGAATTCCTTTGTATATTTTCGTCCTTCTTTCTTTAGTTTCCATTATTGTTTCTCTCTTGCAATTCTTCGCTTGGCTTTTGATTGCTGCTACTACATTGCTTTCCTTCTCATGTCGATGTCATTTACCGGTTTTTTAATATCTTTCAATTCACTCTGTTAAAAGCGGTTAATTCTTGTACTACTTTTGTAACTCTGAATCAAAGATTTCAGTAGATATGTATGTACTTTTATCCGTTCTTACGTATACCTATCAACCTTCTACGTAAAATGACATTTATTTCTTTTAATGGGTCCGCGAAAATTTTATAAATTACAAGGCGGAGAATGTCAGAAACTCCATAAAATGTATGTAAATTAACTGTTACGAACAGTGAGGTTGAGTTAGATTGTGTGCGTGTTCGCTTATTTCAAGATGAGTTAGACCCGTCTCTATATGTGCAACACGATGGCGGGCGATTAAAAGTTTAGCAAGACAAAAGGTCGTATGAAAAGTAAGTTGTTGCGAGCATTTCATAGATTTCTCTAAGGCTTTCGCACTTACTGCTTACTTATTCCTTCATTCATTTATTCTGTTTTACTTCTGTTACATTAAAATTTGATTCTCTCTACCTTTTAAACTATGGAATGTTGCCGTAAAAAATCAAAAACTACTTTATTTAAAGAGCGTTTTTTTCATCTTTGTCTAAATGAAAATAAATGCGTACAATGAACAAACTAAAAATCCTAACTATCCTATTCAAATGCAAACATGTTGACATTTCTAATTCTATATTTGTTTAAAATACAAATAATAAAAAAAAGGAAAATAAAATTCTATAATTAAAATTACAGAGAAAGTTATTTCGTAAAAAATTCAAAAAAAAAAAAAAAAAAAAAAAAAAA